TAGTTTACTCTCACACTCACCTACCAGACCGTTTTCCCTTCCCACCACATTCTGAGGGGGTGTTGTAACAAGTGTTCATTCCAAAGCCTGAGAAGGTGCTTGCCTTCTGGCCCATTTCTTTTCATAAACTCCAGCTTTCGCTGCGTATAGGAAGAAGCTCAAACGTTGAAAATTCCTCTGGCCTTAGTCAGAACAGCAACAGTTACTGCCCCCGGAACGCCACGTGTTGGCGATATGCTGGAGGTTTCTGGGAATTGCTTGGTTAATAGCTGCATAAGATGCTATTGTTACCCTGAGTTTTAGAAGTGTGGAAACTGAGGCAGAGGAATGCTAATGAATGCACTCAGAGTCACACAGTGAAAAAGGAAAGCCAGGATCCTGGTCTTGGCAGCACGAGGGGCTGAGGCTGATTCACTTGTGTTTTGTTTTTGAGATAGGGTCTTGAAATGCATCCTAGGTTGGCCTTGAACTCATAGCAATCCTCCTGTCTCTGACTCCCAAATACTGAGATTTCAGGTGTGGGCCATCACATCTGGTTCTTGTAGTGGATGTTGCTGACTAAAATACTGCATCCTTCTCAATAGTCTTCTACTTCATTGTCTGAAGCGGAGCTTCAATATGTGGCGCCTACATATTGACTCTTAAATTTTTCCATTAATATGATGGCAAGCTGAGAGAAACTACTGGTCTTTTCAAAAAATCCTATGCAAGATCAATCAGCGCCAGGGACCTGATCAAAATTCAGTAGTCTGTTCCAGAGCAGGGCCACAGCGCTTCCAGGGGCCGGCTTGCTCTGATGCACAGTGCCAGGGGGAGGTTTGTCCCAGCTGAGTAATAAAAATGCTTACTGAGCTGGAAAAATAGGAGAGAGGATCCCTGTGTAGTTTTGTCACTAGTGATGAACTGACTCACCTTGACTGAGTTTCAGCAAGTTCCTGGAACTTACTTGTGTATTTTCCTCTATCAATGGTCAAAACTGGTCTGGTTACCACCATTTAATCAGCCCCAGGCCATGCCCTTGTCTAAGCAGATCCATGACTACATTGAGCTATAGTCAAGGTCCTTCTGAGAATTACCAACACTGATCCCAGCCGTATGCACGCAGGCGCAGAACAAAAGCAATGGGCACAGAAAGTGTCCTTAGGGGCCCCTGGTGGGAGCTGACATCTGAGGTCACCAAATACGAGAGCTCCAGCCCATCATTCCTGTGATACCAGGTAGGCAGCCACGAGGCCTTTATTCAGAATTGGGAATATGATTCCCAGCATGCCCACAAAAGCCCATATGACCAAAGGAAGCTAAATTTTCAAGCAGAACTACACAGTTTCTATGTGCCCATGCAGCCCAAGTTCCTGTGCTAGCCACCAGAGACACAAGTGTCTACCACAGGCTAGGCTGGCAGATAAGGAGAGGGATACAATCCTCTGGGAGCAAGGATTGTTGTGATCCAGGTTCAGCACTTACAGCCAACCCATTATGTGACAATCTGCTTTCTTCCCTTAAGCTATAGCATTTACCATTAGGACACAGCATTGACATCTGCAGGTTTATTCCTGACAACACCACAACAGAGTCACAAAAAACACACACAGACTGAGGGCGCTTTAAGTAAGCTGGCTGGGCCGCATTCATAGCAATTCTGGGCTGCATGTGGCCTCATGTGCCTGTCTGTGGGTGGCTGGTTGGACACACCCAGGGCAAGAGAAAGGTCCACAAAGATAAAGCCAGTGTAAATGACCAACTCCACGTGCTCCCGATTCTTCCGAGAAGCCTGGTTCCCACTGACCATCGCACGGCAGGAGGATCAGCCCTCAGGCGTGCGGACACCTTCCACTCAGGCCATGGAGCTGAGGGTATCTCTCTGTGCACAGTGCCTTACTCACACCCACGGAAGAAGCGCCCATAAATGCCACTGAAGAACACCGAGGAGGCCTTGTGGTAGCACTGGCCTGGTGTGTGAAGGAGAACCTAGTTCAACGCTGAACACCTGCTCAGCACAGCTGTTTGCCATGGCCCAGAGATCACCAGCTGTGCAAGGCAAACTACCACAGAGCTACAAGCCAGGGCTAGGGTGTAAAACAGTGTCATGAAGCAAGACGCTGCAGCGAAGCCCCCGAACATGACACATGATTTAGTTTGGAGCTGCCCTCGGGGAGGATTTCATACTGACTAAGAACTTGGGTTCAACAGCCCAGAGTTCATGTGACAAACAAACAAACTGGGTTTGGAGAGATAGCTCAGCGAGGAAAGTGCTGCTCTACAAGGAAGAGGACACGGGTTCAATCCCCAGGACCCACATGAAAAACGTTGGGCGTCCTGGTGCATATTTGTAAAGCCAGCACTAGGTGGGTGGAGATGGGAAGGTCCTGGGGCCTCCTGGCCAGCTGGCCTAGCCTGCTTAGCGAGTTTTAGGCCTGTGAGAGAACCCATCACCAGAGAAAAGATGGGCAGCACCTGAAGAATGCCCTTTGAGGTTCCATCCTGACCTGTACAGACATGCACACATGAGCATGTGCACTCCCATGTGAACATCCACATGAACACTAACACATATACAGACACACCAACATTTTAAAAACGTGAAGGCCACATCTGCTCTTCACATGGTGAGAATCCTGTGAATTTTAAATGCTCATTGGTAGTGTGGCTTGTCCAGGGCTCCCTGGCCAGTGCTTTTAGCCTGAAACCAATGATAATGAACCAGTAACCAAATGGAGCCGAAGTAGTGGAGATTGTGATACCTGGGAAGCAGGAACCTGGGAAATGCCCCACCAAGGGAGACTGTGATACCCCGGAAGCGGGAACCTGAGAAATGGGGAGACTGTCATACCCCGGAAGCAGGGACCTGGGAAATGGGGAGACTGTCATACCAGGGAAGCGGAACCTGGGAAATGGGGAGACTGTCATACCCCGGAAGCGGAACCTGGGAAATGGGGAGACTGTCATACCAGGGAAGCGGAACCTGGGAAATGCCCCACCAAGGAAAACAGGCCAGCCAATGTTCAGGGAGCAGTTCAGCAGAGGGTTTAATCCACCCAGAAGGAGGAGGTCTTAAGTCCAAGGAGCAAAGTCTGTGGTGTTCCAGAGTTCTGAGAGACTAAAGGAAACTGTGGTCCTTGGCTGGGGGCCAGTCCAAGAGCCGTGGGTGGCCTGGGCAGGTTGCAGGCAGTGATAGTTCAGCAGAGCTGCCAGCATCTAAGACTCTCGGGTGTGCCCCAGGGGGGACCAGAGGTCACTTCTGTACCTTACATGTACACTCTACCTGTGCGCTACCGCGGGGCCTCCATCTACCAGACTCAAGAGAAGAGAACAGGGACTTTACACCCTCACGTGGTGGGAATCTTTACACGAGTGTCCTGAACTTACCCACAGATTGGAAAGCACATTATGTCCTGATTGCTGTTCACAGAAGGTCTCAAAGTCCACCTCTGAGGACCAGCGCTCAAGGCTCTGATTCACACCTGTCTCGGAACCCTCACATGGACACTGGGATCGGAGAGACCAGCATGCGCCCTGCTTTGCAGTTACTGACCCTCTTCACTCACTGTCCTCTTTGTTTTCCATTTCTTTTCTTTTTAATTTTCAAAGCTTAAAAAGTGTGCACACAAAATACTAGTTTTCATTACAGCATTTTATATGCACATATCATGTACTTTGCTCATATTCACTCCTCATTGTCTCCTTGTCAATGTCATGTGGTCAGTGCTTCACAATCACTAGAAATTGTCACTTAGTCACTTGATAAATAAAGGTAGAAACCTCAGATATCTCATAGCAGGTACAAGAGAAGGAAAAATGAAAAAATAAAGACAGAAAATGCACTTCTTGAGAGAAAATGAAATACAAGATTCCACATCTAAGCAACTCCCTGCATGGTAGCTTGAACACAGAAGTCACTCAATAAACAAATCATTGTAAGTGTAGAGGATTATTGTTGAAGGTCTGAAAATAATGTCCCAGGGTCCTAATGAGGTTGCCAGGATTTACTGAAAAGTGACCTGAGGTCCTCATAGACTTAAATGAGGGAATCTGGACCATGATGGGCTGTTAAAAAGGTGATCCGATCCTGTAGCCCCCAACCTCTCACTCTCTAGTGGGCCATTTTAAAAAGCAAAAATCAAGGAACCCATGAGCAAGGAGCAGACTGGAATTCGGGAGACCCCTAACATTACCACCCTGCTCCCATACAGCTGTGGACCCTCTCACTTGCCTCCCAATTTCCCCACTGACTGAACAATCTCAGTTTCTTACTGACCTGGAGGCTCTCATTTATCTGGCAGAAGGAGGAATGCTTGGAGATGTGGATGAAGTTCCAGGAAAAAGAATTAAACAAAGATCTATAGTTTACAAGGGTGAGAACCTTGTGTGGGACGTAACATCCAAGAGCCCACGATCAGTGATGAGGTTTCCTGTCCAGAGGACAGCAGCACAGCATCTGCTGCTGAGAGCAGATCATGCCTGCCAGCTGCAGGAAGTGTCCCGGGCAGGAGGGAGCATGAGGAACGTGGCTCCTGGTGTCAGAAGAGCATCTGAAGAAGGGTCTGGTTTTCCTGGCATGTGGTGACCGGCCTGTCCACTATGGCTTAGTTAGTGCTCATCTTTCACTCTCAGCCTTCGGCTCACTAATTTGCATGTTTATTTTCTCATTCCACAAATATTCCTAAGTGTCTAATATATGTGACATGCTCTTTTAGGCACTAGAGAAGGCCAGGGGAGAAAAGAAGCCCACGGCCTTTCCAATGGGGAGCTGGAACCAAATATAGAGTGTCTGAAGTTGGTCAGAGCCATGCCAATAGACATAAGCAGTAGAATATGCTGGCAAGGAGAGGGATGTTATCTTAATAAGATGGTCAAGGATCGCCTAGGAGGGGCAGATGGGCGGAGGGTGGAAGCCGTGGCCCGGTTCGGAGAGTGAGGGAGTGTATTTTGTAAGATGGAGCATGAGCACCGGGCAGGTGGTGCCACCCCTGAGGTGGCTGCGGTGGCCCTGTGGTACTCACCTCCTCCAGCCTCCGCCTCTGCTCCTTCTGCTCCTCGATGCGCTTCTGGCGCTCTGCCAGCAGCTGCCGCTTGTGTTCCTCATTCTCCCGCTGCTGCTGCTCCAGCTGCTGTCGCCGCAGAGCCTCTGAGCGCTCCTTGTTGGCCAGCTGCAGTCGCAGGAAGTCTCGCCGCAGCGTTGACTCTCCTGGCAGGTTCAGAATGGAGCTGTGGACAGGAAAGAACATTAGGCCCTCAACACGTGTGATGAGGGCCATTGCAACTGTGCGTCCTGGGGCGAATGCAACAGAACAGGCTTTGCCCCCTTTCCAGATGACTATTCCATACATATGCTGTCCTAAAGGAATACCACACCCTTTTCTAGGACTGTCACACCACTCCATCCCCAGTGCATGGCAAAGATGTGTGTCATAAGACTTCAATGAGTGTGCAAGCTCTAAACCTTAGGCAAGCTTATCTCTACATATAAGAATAGCTAGCAGGGACTATGGGGATGGTTCAATGGCTAAAGAGCTCGCTACACCAGCATAAGCCTCAATTCATATTCCCAGAGCGCCCCCCCCCCACACACACACAAAAGCTGGATACAACAGCACATGAGTCTTTGGGAAGATGTGAGGCAGAGAGAGGAGGATTCCCTAAGCTTGGAGGCCAGCTAGCCTGGTGTACATAGCTACCAACAACGAGACTGTCTCCAGATGGGAAGGAAAGACCAACAGCAGGGCTGTCCTCTGACCTTTAGACACGTGCATGCTGTGCACACATGCATGCATACTCACACAACGCAGCACAACACAGATACATGTGCATGGACATACTCGTGCACACATATGCAGATGTGTGCACACGCACGCACTCACGCATGCGCGCATACACGCACACACACACAGCGAGAGAGCAGAGGAGTAAGAGGGGTCTTACTCTATTCACAGGAGCAGATGCCCTCACAGGCACCTCCTTGACCGCTCACCCCAAGGCCTGAGGAGGCAGAGGTCACGCTGCTCAGGGCAAGATCAAATGGACCAGGAGAAACAAGGCTTAAGACAAGGTTGACAATGAGCCAAGATCTCAGGCCAAGTTCGTGCAGCCCATGGTGCCCAGGGCTTGGCTAAACACATCCCTGTGGAAGGGCATCATTCTAGCCACAAAGCATGTACTTGGGACGACTGTACCTGAGGAGACCAAGTCCTAGGTTATGTTTAACATAGTATATTTAAGTGTGTGTGTGCGCACAGAGGACATAAACTACAGCATTGTTATTGGTGGTCCCAGGCTTCCCAACGCCAATGTAACTGCAGGTGACCAACAGAAAGTTCTTCACAGCCATCTATCAGGGAGACGAGGATGGCTCCCTTAGGTTTAGTTACACCTACCCCATTAAATCAGTGGTTCTCCACCCGTGGGTCACAACTCCTTTGGGGACAAATGACCCTTTCACAGGGTTGCATATGAGATATACTGCATAGCAGATATTTACATTATGATTTGTAACAGTGGCAAAATTATAGTTATAAAGTAGCAATGAAAATAACTTCATGGTGGGGGTCACCACAACATGAGGAACTGTATTAAAGGGTCGCAGTATTAGGAAGGCTAAGAACCACTGCCTTAAATGTTGGTGAAAGTTTCACCTAAAATAAACTCATTGGCCAAATAATTCCTTGTTTGTGCTATGTAACAGGTATTAGGACAGGCTGTAGGGAGATCACACCCACTAGCTATTAGGTAGAAAATAGAGATGGGGTTGGATCTCAGAGGAAGGAGTTCTGAATGGCAGCATATTCCCATTGTTTGTTTAACTGCTATTGTGAAACCCAGGCCCCAGCTCTCCAGAATCAGCCTCACTTCTGAACTGGCCAACACTATGAGCAATCCAATAATGGATCCTGATTAGTCTCCAAAAGGAGTTAGATATGAGGGAACCCAAAACACCATGGCTTGGGATATGGCAATATCCCACTTGGTCAAGTGCTCACCACACAAATTTGAGGACCAGAGTTGAGCCCCAGAGTGCACATAAAATGCTGAGTGTGGTGGTGTGCATTTGTGACCCCAGTGCTGGGGAGATGTAAACAGGTGGGTTTCTGAAGTTCATTTACCAGCTAGTTTGGCCTACTGTGCAAGCCCTAGGTCAAAAGGAGACCTTGTCTCAAAAAGGCAAGGTTGACTTCTGGAGGATGGCGCCCATGGTTGAGATGTCCACCCTACCCATACCTGCACACGCATTGTTTTGACAGTGGACGGTCATCTGCATGGTACAGGAGAGTACATTAGCTAATGGTGTTTCATGGTGGAGACTTGACCCAGCAAGGAGCAGTGGGGTGACCTCAGAAGTATCTGGGGATGGAATTAATGAAGCCCGTAGAAAGATCTGAAGTCCAGGGTGAGGGATGGCATGCAGTTTCATTTGGGCTGCTGGTGACAGTGTGACAAGACATGGAGGGAGGGTGGCAGGAGGAGGGCAGGTTGTTGGCAGCTGGCAAGGGTATCCGTTTGGTTTTGGTGAGTTACTGGAATCTGTGTGAGATGCTGTTATAGACAAGGCCAAGAGCTTCCCTGAGGGCACCCCACAGGCAGTTTAGGAGTCCCCTGAGAACCCCTCTACAACTCGCTGTCTCTGTGTCAAACTCTAAAACAGCTTCCAAATGGTGGTGCTTGTACACACAAGTCACATGCTATGAGCAAAGGTGATGAGGTTGGGGACCCAATGTCACACGCACATGAGGACGCCCCATTAATCTTAACTGATACTGAACTAATCCAGGAGACCTTGGTTGTACTAATGACTCAATTACTAACTCTGTGTATGACCTGGTGACATCCTCGAGCTGTTGTCTCATGTTAAAATGAGAAAACCATCATCTTTTTCTACATTTTAGGATTTCAAGAAGACTAATTAGACTTGTTCAAACAGTGAGACTTGGTGCATTATCTTCCTGTGATATAATGACATGTTATAATTACAGCTGGTGTCTCACCAAGTGACCCCTGACACACAGAAAGTCTTGGGAAGACTGGATTTCTCAGATCTTTAAAGAACAGACTACAGAGGCCTGGCACAGTCTCCGGGCTGGGAGCAGAGTGTGGCTTCTCTGTGAGCAGGGACCAGGGTCCTTTGCTCTAAGGAAATGTTCATTTTATACGTCACCGTTCGACAGCCATTGCCCTATGCAGCTAAAGTGAGGGCAGCTAACATTCTGATGGGAGGAAATGTTCTCCTTCAGTCATTGGCCTTGGGAAAGCCTGTGGCAGATAAGAGATAAAAACTAATGTCCTGTGAGCTCAGTCCCAACCTCCCAGGTAGTTTAGCAAGAACCGAGCTTGTCGGGTGATGCTGACTTCACACAGTGGTTCTCAGCCTTCCTGATGCTGCTACCCTAATACAGCTCCTCATGTGGTGCTGAGCCCAACCATGAAGTTGTTTCTTTGCCCCTTCATAACTGTAATTTTGCTACTGTTAGGAATTGGAATGTAAACACTTGGTGTATAGGATATCTGAAATGCGACCACCGAAGGGGATGCGGCTCAGACAAGCTGAGAACTGCTGGCTCAGGAAGAGAACGAGAGGCTGGAGAGAAGGCTCATCAGCAAAGCATTGCCTTGCGAGTGTGAACCTCAATTTGATCTCCAGAGCTCAGGTGAAAACATCTGGTGTGGTAGCAGATGCTTGTAATCCCAGTGCTGGAAGGTGGAGACGGCAGGCTCCTAGGAGCTCACCGGGAAGCTGGCCCAGCCGAGTCAGCGAGTACCAGGCCCGTGGGAGCCCTTCTTTCAGAACACAGAGGTGAAGTCAATGGAACTTATGTAGACTTGTTGTCTCATATTCTTTGTCTTAATGACCTTTTGCTTGTATATTATGGTTTCTGATTTTGTGCTTTTATGTTTTTTTTCTGTGTGTGTTTCTTGAGCTCTTTTCTTTTTATTATGTTTTGTGGTAGTTGTTGTTTTTGCTTGCCTGTTTGTTTTCTAGAGAGAAAGAGAAAGAAAGAAAGGGCATGGAGTTGGGTGGATTGGGAGGATCCGGAAGGAGTTTGGGAATGGAAACTGTGATCAGAATATAACACATGAAAAAATACATTTTCAATATAAATACATACTAACAAGATAGTGCTTGATGAATGATAGCTGAGGTTGTCCTTTAAAGTCTGTGCTGGTTAATTTTTGTCAGTTTGACACAAATTAGGATCACCTGGGAAAAGGGAACCTCAGCTGAAAAATTGTCACTATGAGACTGACCGTTAGGCCTGTCTGTGGGGATTAGTGCCCACTGTGGGCAGGTGGTCCTAGGTTGTTTAAGAAAGCAGACTGAGCAAGCCATGGGGAGCAGCCATGGGGAGCACGCCATGGGGAGCACGCCATGGGGAACACGCCATGGTGAACACGCCATGGGGAGCACGCCATGGGGAGCACGTCATGGGGAGCACGCCATGGGGAACACGCCATGGGGAGCATGCCAGGAAGCAGCATTTCTCCACAATCTCTGCTTCAGTTCCTGCCCTCAGGTTTCTGCTTTGAATTCCCTCCACAATGGACTACAATCTGCCAGACAGAATAGACCCTTCCTCTCCAAGCTGCTTCTGGTCAGGGTTTTAATCACAGCAATAATACTGCAAAGTAGGATAGTCTCCACATGTATACACATGTGCTAGACACACACACACACACACACACACACACACACACACACACACGAAGGAAGGAAGGAAGGAAGGAAGGAAGGAAGGAAGGAAGGAAGGAAGGAAGGAAGGAAGGAAGGAAGAGGAAAACGTGGTGTCTAGCTTACTCCTACAGCATGGTCCCTCAGCACACCAGGACACTCTGTGCCAGGGAGACAGCAATCGGTCCTTGTGCTGCCATGTGAGGGGGGCTGGATACCCTGGAGTGCTGGAGGACATGGACCCATAATGCCCAGTACCTTTCCACTTGTGCATTCTCTCTGCAATTAACAGTGCACGTCCACGGGGTGCACAGAGCTGCGGCCCATGCACAGGGCTGCGGTCCATGCACAGGGCTGCAGTCCCAGCACCACAAGCACGCCCGCCTCAATTGCCCATAAATACAGATGGGAGGAAAGCTGGGGTCAAAGCCACGCCAGCCTCCAAGTGGAGACGACAACATTGAAGAGCACCGGGTTCCGTGGAGACAACAGGAATGGTGTGAACATTTCTATCAGGGTTCACCTCTGGAGGACAATTTGATTTTCTAGAATCACCTCCTCCAGGGTTGGTCTGTGTGAAACATCGAGGCACATGGCAGGACCTGAAAGGGCTTCTCAGAGGGATGAACAAGAAGCTGAATGACTCCAATCTGAAATGTCACTAACTCTCCCCAAAGTTGCAATTTTAAACATTTTTAGCACTGCATTAGCCAGATAATTGCTTCCTTCCCACTCTATATCTACATGTGTGAGGAAACAAGGTCATGAATACAGGCCATACATCTTGGTGGACAAGATAAAGAATATGCTGATTTCCACACTTTTTATAAGAGTCTGCCTAAGGGAAATTTCACACATTAATGAGTATGTATGTGGGCAATGCATTCACTCCTGGCGCATCCTCACAACAGAGCCATAAATCAAAAGGGAAGTGCATTTTGAGCAAGCCCAGTCCAAACTGGCAGTGGGAAGGCCTAGCCTTCTTCCTCATACCTGGGCTCCCCAGAGTCATTTTCTTCCTCTTCTTCCTCACTTCCGCTGTATTCGTACTCGGTCTCATCTGAGAGAGATCACAGAATGTTAGTGTAGACCATGGTGCTGCTGTTCAGAAAAGACCATCTCTCTGCTTCATAAACTTTCATGAGCCACAGGACTGTGGTCAGTGGACCTCATCAGTAGCCCCAATCCCATAAGACAATGGAGCTGAAAATTCTGCCTACCTAGTCACACTGATGCTGCCCTAACTCCACAGAGCAAGGCAGGATTCACCTGTCTGTGGCAGGGCTGGTATAATTATGCCAGCACACGAGAGTACATGACACAGAAGCATTACAATATGTACTACTTGATAGAAACACACGATCTCTCCACTAATCTGCACTAAAAGCCTAGAACATGTGATGTGCAGGTAGTCCCAAGTTTAACCCCACTCCTGGTTTAACAGAAAAGAATAGGTAAGTGTGATTGATTCGTTATGAACATTCATTTACCTCAGTAAAAATAATAAACATGTTAATGTGTAATAGTAAGATTGAATATTTGCTTTAGACATGATCAAAATAAAATGAGAAAGGCACAAATGGAATGTATGATTGTCATTTCCATGGTTATGAAGAAAGGAAATGAATGTTTAGTAGACATCTTACATGTGAGCAAATAGTGTTAAATATTTTAGATTTGTTCTCTCACTTACTTATGATAATAATCTCTGAAATAAGGGAGGTGGTCAGATTACAAACTAGTAATGCCTTCATATTAATAAAAGGTCAACCTGGGAGGTATATTTAGAATCAGCATTGAGATGTTTCAATGTGAAAATCAGTGTCTCCCCCAACATATTCCATCCCGAGCAGAAGCACACACAGGGCAGTGGGAAGTGAGAGGAGGAGCAGCTGTCTCCTCGTGCTCAGAATGGAGGAGCAGAAGTCGTGAACCACTGAGGAGGTAAGAAGCTGGGCCTTGGAAGCCAGTGGCCCTTTAGCTGGCAGCAGCTGGAAGGATGGACAATGTCACTGTGAATGAATGATAGGCCTCCATCATGGCTGGCCGTGTTACAAGCCGAGAAGCAGTGAGTGCCAAGAAGCTGGGTGTCTGGATGTGGAAAAGCAAATGGCAAGACCAAGGCCACCAGGGGTACAGTGACTCCCACATGGTGAGACCAAGGCCA